CAGATATATCAGACATGCACAGCTGTTTTCCCTCTATTATGGAACGGAGCCACAGCCACGTCTGTTGCAGAGAGGTTTTCCTTCTTTACAATACATATTCTTTGATTGTAACCTCCATGGTACCGTATACTAGGATTAAACCCATTTTGTTTTATACGAGAACAGGTACTTTCTTTAGTTCATGCACTGCACATGCGATTCTCGAGAATATTGGAAACCAAAAGTTGCGGGAAAGTTGCTTTGCCTTTCTAAAAGACAATCAAATTGGAGCTGCAAAAATTGGCTCTATGCCAGCTACCCGAATGACACTCACGTGATACATAATTCGCCAAAAAAGTTACCTCTTCCGACATCGGCGCAAAAATCGCTTTTTTTGGCGGGATCGTTGTATGAACTTCCCTGACTTTTCCAGATTTTGACAAAAATACTTAAATTCCCTGACTTTTCCCTGAATATTTTGGTCATTTTTCGAATTCCCTGACTTTTCCCGGTTTTCCAGGTAGCGTGGCAACCCTGTGCAAAACATGCACATATTGGAGATTTTGGTAAAGAAACAGCCGATGAAATAACAAAATAGGTAGCTATGGACCAAAACACCAGGATGCTCTTCATCCATGCTCATATATGAAACCAACTGTTAACTCATGAAAAAGTGACAGAATAACAAAATGAGGACTTAACAAGAAGACGAATGTTCAAATACACGCCTAGAATTAGCATGGAGCACAAACGTGGAACAGCAGAGCTAACTCATTTCCCCACAGGTCATGGTTATATGAGTTACTTAAACCACTTCCAGACATTGTGGCAGTGATCGATGTATATGCAGGACCACTGGTGACTCAGATCACTACATCTGTAATTGCCCGAAAACAGTGAGATTTCACCTTCGGAAACAAGCAGATGAATACTGCTACTTTTGAGCTAAAAACGCTTTCAACACTCTGCATCCATTAAGCATATTAAGGAATGCACCAATATTTCACTTTTTATTTCTAACAATTCAGAAAAACATGGTACAATTGCGGCTTTCATGTCGAAGCTGCATGTCATCCTGGCTAATGCTAGCTAATGAACATGGTTGCTAGCTAATGAACTTATCACTGGATTAGTTCATTAGCTAGTAACTCATTGTATTACACACTAATACTATCCGCATTAACATGCATATATACATCTGTGTTTTCATACATGTATTATACACTAATACTATCTGCATTAACATGCATATATAAGTCTGTGGTGTATCAGTGTCAATGGAACTTACTTGCTTATTTGTAATAGCAATGTATTCTTATTTCCACACTAGAACCCATGTCCATGAGATATCAGAGTCGCAATACTTACAGTGCTATTATCAGTATACATTTCCCCAACTTGTACATACCTATTGCATTCACAGCGATATTCATATGCTATATGAATATATTGCAATATCTGTATAACCGTCTTAGGGGTTTCTGCTTCAACATAATAGCTTGTCTAGCTTACATTTTTAGTGATTCTTGTAAACACATGCATTTATTTACAAATTTATTTTGTCTATAATAAAATCGGAGTATCTGTATATTTGTACTAGAAATGTCTGGATCAACATATTTATTTGAACCAGATAATGTATTTTAATAGTGATTGTACATATAGATGTATTTAATATCTGTAATGAAATTTGTATCTGTATATTTGTATGAGAAATATCTGCATCAACGTTTGAACTAGTTTATGTACTTTTAAAAGTAAATGTGTATGTACAATTTATAATGTCTGCAACAGAAACTGAGTATCTGCATCTATATACATATACACATGCATACATACACGTTTACAATGTCTGTAACAAAAACTGAGTCCTGCATATATGTATTGAGAGTGTTTACATGACAAATTTATTCGAAACAATGTGTTTTAACAGTAATTGTATATATACATGTAATTATTTATAACATCCGTAACAGAATTTGGTAGCTGTACATCTGTATTAGTGATGCCCACATCAACTATTTAGGACTAGTTTATGTGACTTTAAAAGAAAAGGCGTATACACAAGTTTATGTACAAATTAATAGCGTCTGCGACAGAAATTCCGAAATATGAATTCCTCAATTGAATGATTGATGGGTTTGTACACAGTGACAATGCTTCATACCAGCACATTGCTCCCATTACCCTTCCAAAATTTTACTCTCTTTATAGTTCACATTCCAATTTTTAAACCTTCATTATTTTACCCTGCAAAGGCAGACTTTGAGGAACATAATCTACGATAAGAAATAGTTATACTTGTCAACAGGACTTAAACAGACTGGCAAGTACCTTTCCCAAGTGGACAGGCTGTCTTGCTGCCAGAGAAAAGAAAGCAGTTGAATAACATAAAATTTAATCGCCTTCCAATTAAAGAAATTTTATGTATTAATAATATATTTTTAATAAATAATGTGAAATGAGTACCACAGTTTATTAGCCCAAAGGGCTATTAATTTTGTTTTGATATTTTGCATTGATTCACTATAAATGTCAGTTCACTTTTCAAATTGTTGCCACCAAATATTATCGTCCTATGTTACATTTAAAGAAATTAAATACTGAAGAACCTGCATAAAAGTATGTATGTTTCTCACATTGTGATAAAAACAACTGTCCCTAGAGCCATCAAATTTTGAATAATGTAATCTTCCACTGAATATGGGCATCTGGAAGCGCTAATTTGGAATATAAAATTTGTTCTATTATCGATTTCATATTTTATAACGCTTCAACAAATTTTTTATTAACAAACTAAACGATTTCAAAGCGAGCAATAGCAAAACTGTACGGGGGCGGAGAGAAAAAAAAAAAAAAAAATTTTTATCTCTAGCGTGAGAGACTGTGTATCGAAAATTATAAAGATATGCTCATTTTAAAATTATTTTACGGTATTGCTGTTGAATTGAATTTTATGGTTTAAGTGCAAAGAACATGATATTTAATACATGCAGGTAACACATAAAATGTTTAAAAAAGTCCGTTTGGGCATAATGTATAATCTGAAAGCTTTTAGATTTTTTTTTTAAAATTATTTCTGTAGTATTAATAAATCTAAATCAATTTTGATTGGCACATACTATGGGCAGTCAAAAAGGTTCCCGAAATTTCATTGTTACTTTTCATCACCACAAATTATTAATTAATTTTTTTTAGTAACGGAATTCACAATAGGCAGTGAAGTTGAAGGTAGGAGTGTGTGGTGATTAGTTGGTGTGATGTTGAAGTTCGAGCAAATTGGGGAAATCTGCCTCAGGAACTTTGTTAGCTTACAAACAGTTTACAGTAAATGTTAATCACAGTTTACAGCAATCTTTTAAAGATAACTGCCATTTACGAATGGTTTTTAAGATCTGAGGATGGATAGGAATCACTGAAAAACAAGTGCGCAGTGGAAGACCTTCAACTTCCAGAAACAAAGAAATGCTCGAACAACTGAATAAATTAATCAGATCAGAGCAAAGAATGACCATCAACGAGTTGGCATAGAAAGTGTGGATCTCTCATGGATCCATTCATGCAATCCTGTCAGATGATTAAATGATAAAATGTGCCAGTGTAAAATTTGTCCTGTGGTTGCTGAACCTGGATCAAATGGACTCAGGAGTTGACTGTGGCCGAATGTGTTGAAAAAAGCACTACGGACCTGATGTTTCTTGAGACAATTCTTACTAGTGATGAGACCCACGTGTTATGACTAGAAGACAAAGATGCAATCATCAGCATCATCCTCTCCTCAACCAAAGAAACCACGCCATGTTATATTCCAAACAAAAGTGATGCTCATTGCGTTTTTTGACAATGAAGGTGTGGTACACAATGAATTTGTACCAACTGGACAAACTGTTAATGATCCTTTTTACATGCAAGTTTTAAAAATACTCAAGCCATCTGATGGTAACATCCTGCAAAATGGCAAGGAAGATCGTCACTGCATCATGACAATGCTCCTTCCCATACACCGTCTGTTGCGCAAACCTGGCTCATAGAAAATAACATTTCAGTCCTCCACCAACTTCCCTATTCACTGGATTTAATATCATCTGATTTCTTGATGTTCCCCCAAGATCAAATTTCGCATCAAATGTAAATTGTTTTGTGACTGTAGAAGATGACAAAACCAATGAATGGCTGAGATTCAGAAGATACCACAACAGGACATTTTCTTTGTTTCCAGAATGGCAGGAATGGTGGAGCAGGTGTGCGTGTTCTGAAGGATTGTACTTTGAAGGCGATTACTAAATGTGTAACTATATTGTGGTAATAAACAGTTACAACAAAATTCCAGAACCTTTTTCACCACCCCTCATATACCCGCAATATGTTAATATCAATAAACAATGCTCGTTTGATTGGAACAATATGTTATGGTTTATATATGCAGCAATATGCTACATTGATTGATGCAAAATAGTTATGAGCTTCAAGCAAAGTACCACTTCTGGTCGTCCAATTTTATGAAAAATCTAATCAATTTGTTATATGAAAGCAGACAGCTTAAATAAGGAAAACAGAAATTTTTAGAAGTTTGATTTAAGAATGATCACAGACGAAACAATCATCACACACATACACATAGACAGACATCACTATCAAAATAATAAAAACAAGTTGTAGAGACCCTAATTCATGTGTATTTATTAAAAACTCTCATTCAAACACATTACCTTCCTTACCTATGTATGCAGGTTGGAAGGAAGCCAAAATATGTTAAAACACACATTTCTGCCAAATCTTCAAATTGGGAGTGCAAATAATTAGAAAGCAATGCATTTAGTTCTGCAGTTCCGATTAAAAACGAAATTTTGCAAACACAGCAAGAGAGTTTATGACTATATTGAAAATTAAATTTCAGCAAGATTTAAAAAATCTAGATATTTGTAACAATAAGTCCGCATATTCTATTTAGCCTTTTAGACATAGCTTTCCCAATATAAAATAACAGTTGCCATTTGGTAAAAGATAGATTATTCACTTACACTATTTGCCATCAACTTGATCCTTTGAGTAGCAGTTTCATGGGCTCTATACAAATCAATACAGCTTGTGATATCAGGATTTAAAATATTTCCATGCTCGTCTCTGACAACCAAATCTAACCCTAAATACCTAGAACAAAGATTAAAGATAAAGAAGTTTTCAAACTATGTAAGTGAAAGTTTCAATGAAAAGAAAAAAAAAAGCATACGATACTAAACCATATTTTTTGTAATTTCCCTAGACAAATATAACAACAAATGAATAGCTAGGAAAGTATAAAAACTAAATTTATCTCATTTATTACCATAAAGCAAATCAAAGAATATAAGAAATAAGTATTCAAACCATTTAAAAGTAAATAGGGATTTTAAAAAGAAATATCCAATTCTCAAAAGTAATTTATGTTAGTATACACTTCTAACAAATATTACTCTTTTAGTATTTCAAAGTAAAACTGTGAAGCTTCTTATATAAGCGGCTTAAGTGTTTGTCGCCGACAGTTTATTGTTGCCACTTGAAAAAATGAGCGTGAAAATTAACGTTTTCGTAGTTTTAATCAATATCTCAGCCAATTAAAGTTGTACGAAGATGAGAACGGTATCGATGGATTCAGAGAATTTTTTGGAATTCGAGGATACGCGTCTTGAATTTCAACTCGGCGCCGTTGCGCAGGTTTTCGAGAAAAAAAAAAAAAATTTTGGCACGTAGCCAAATCCCTCTAATAGGGAAAACCCAAGAAACAAAGTCGAAAATATAGCGAAAACGCAGGGGAAAATTAGTTTTTAATTAATATCTTGGCTAATTAAAGTCCCATGAAGACGCGAATGGTCAAAATGGCATGCAGAATCCAACGGTGTGCTTTGCTAAGCCTGAGAGCCAGCCGTTTCGGAGGAGATAATGTTACTTCACCCCATATATATATGTGGCTTAAGTGTCTGTTTGTCGCCGATAGTTTATTGGTTGCTTGTGTAACTGTACTACCAATGTGGTGAACTCGCCATGGCACAGGGTTGCCGTTTCAGTTGAGACGTAGACAATTTCCTGTAAAACTTGGCTTTGCTATGACCATCAATAAGTCTCAGGGCCAAACGCTTAAGCGTGTTGGCATTTTTTTTACCTGAGCCTGCATTTGGACACAGTCAACTTTATGTCACCTGTTCAAGAGTTCGTGAAGAACGGACATAAAATTAAAAATAATTGGCGGTTCTCTGCAAGGCGAGTTAAAAAATGATGGAAAGATCTACACAAGAAATGTTGTGCACAAAGAGATCTTTGACATGTGAATTAACATTTTATTATTTAAATCACCTTTATTTATTGATCTAGCGGTGGCTCTTAAGAAATGTACTGCCAGCGGTTTATTTCATTGCACTCTACTTTGAGCAATCAAGCAAGTAGAAGGGGGAAACGCCGTGGGGCAGTAATCAAAGGGGTGTCCTCGCCGCTTGTCCTGGGTAATTCAGTTTGAATTAGCAGACACCTTTGCACAAATCATTTTAATTGCAATTTATAATATCTAGAACAGCGGTCATTTTGTATGACCATCGGGCTTTCTAGCATTAATTATAATGAATTGAAAAATGTACAAAATTGATATTTATTATAATGTGTAATCACATGATTACTTCAACATTCTACATTTCTCAACATTTTATATTTGAAAGCAGTTCAAATGAAACAATACACGAGAACAACTCAAAGAAAGAGTGCAAAACAGCTCAGTAACAGATTGAGAAGAGAGTTATAGGGTTGTATCAATGTAATACTAATAAATATGTACTTCAGACCCTGCTAGACTGTCAAGTGAGATATCGTTCCATCTGAAAATGTCCGATGCAAATTTTAAATAAAAATTTTCATTTAAGCTTGAATTTAACAAAAGCAATAACTTGTGTATACAAGCGAAACTCTGCAACTTGCACATATTAAAACAATATACAGTTAAATTTACAATTTAAAAAGGGATTATAGCCAGAAACTACACAAATTCGCCCACTGCATGCTCAAATTTAATTCAGTGTTTTAACTTTGGCTAGCAAATGGCTAATATTGGAATACTAAAGGCACAGCTGGGCAACAGAAAGTAAAACTGCGAGCATCACTACCAAAAGCTCTATCTATAAAACATTCAAAATTCTTACCTTAACATTTTATCTCATTTACATCCAGGACAGGGCTAACAAAAGGAAGAAGTAATAGTACAAATTCAGATCATAAAAATGAATAAATTAATATGAAATAGCTTGTAAGTATTTCTTGATAAAACTGTACCAGATATGAAGTGGATAAAATATTTGCCACACAAAAAACAAAGAGATGTCTTCATTTGCTTTCAATTTAAGAAGCCTAATTTTTGTTATGTGTACAATCAGTCAAAAAAAGGGGGTGCAATTCTATATATTCTGTTCCAATCAGTAAATGGATGAAATGCAACATACACTTTTCATGTCTTGAAAGGGTGCCCTAGGATATATATTACATTTATATATGACACTTTTTTAACATCTACAAAATTGAAAGTTTTCTGAAATGACATGCTGATTTTTTTCCATATTTCGATTCTAAACCTCAAATTGTGCCAAGTGCCATGCTTTGTAAAAACTGTAAAGTTTTTTTTTTTTTTTTTTAAATTATTAAAATTTCAAAATGTTAATTCTGCAGCGCAAATGTGGCTTCTATTTAATAATAATGTTTTTAAATAATTAATTTCTCCTTTCACAATTGAAAATTTAGGTTTAACCTAAATAAAATCCATACATGTTTTCTGATTTATTTTAAAAATTTGTATTTTTAGATAATTTTTACAATTTTTTGAAAAAAACTTTGAATTATAATACATCAAAATTTCACCATCATTTTATGGTAGTAGATGTATTTCTAGGCATATCAGGAAAAATCAAGAGTTTTTAACCTTCCAGCACACGCGCGTCGTAATTTTTACGACATCTGTTATTTTACTGTTCTTGCCACCAAAAACGACAGAAATCGGTGAATATTGATAATAAATTTGTTAAGAAATAAAATATTAGTCTTATTTTTGCAAAATACAAATGATATCACATTCAAATATAAGTAAATTATTTTTAAGTTCTTATGTTAGCGAGATGGAAATGCAATGATGTATTTCATTACAGAAAAGTTTAAATTTAATATTTAGTAATTATATTTTAAAATCGAAGCTAATTTTAATATTCATCAAAGACAAGTATAGACAATAAAAAAGGAAAACACACCTTGCTAGGAAAAAAGTAGGTTTAGCATTACTTACTTCTACAAGGAAATTTACTTCTTACTGGTTACAAAAACGCACTTTAAATGAACTTTAATGTTTCTATTCATTTCTAAAATATATAAAGAAAAGAAAAGAAGGAATGGAAATCGTTACTGTTCTCCCATCCAAAGGTTTCCTTGCTTCCTTTTCTTCATCAAAGAAGTCCTGAAGAATCCGAGCAAAATCAGCTGATTGCACATATTTTTTTGCCATGAAAACCGATATAAAATTTACAGAGCCAAATGTATTCAGATTAAAATAATACATGGTAATTAATAACCCAAAATTACAAAATATTTGAGAAAAAATATATTTTTTGAATTCTAAAACACGACCACACGCGTGTCGTAACTTTTACGAAAAGCTGCCACGTAGCACGAAAGCCCAGTTAAAAAAAAAAGTCAAATGACTTTCTGTTGGCACATTCCATGACGTGGGGAAGGGTAGAAAGGAGGAATAGAAATGACCTTCAGCTGTCTCAGCTTCGATATGCGAAAAATGTGCATTAAAAACTGGATTTGTCATAAATTTTGCACATATACGCGTGCTAGAAGGTTAATTCAAAATTTTCAAAGATATACCCGAATTTATTGGTGCATTCTGAAATTTGGCACAGTTGTGATAAGCAATAACAAAACCAAATGTGGTTTACACACTTTGCTATAATTTTCAATGAACTGCAACAGTTATTTTTAATGCCTTCATAGAGGGTTTTCCTAAGAGATGGTTACTCATGTTGCATATGGAAAAATTGTAAAAACTGACCACACAAACACCTCATTTGCCTAGGTCACGCTCCGAGACAAACTATCAGTATTCACTAGTCTTTTCTTTTCAACCACTGTGGAGCCACTTAAATTAGGAATAAATCTCTAATTTACTATTTGATTTGCAAATATTTAAAATATTATATTCTTAGGCACACACACACACACACACACACACAAAAAAAAAAAAAAAAAAAAAAAAGAGAGAGAGAGAGAGAGTTTAAATTTTGCTTAATACATGAATTTTTAAACTTCTGAGCCATAGTGCAAATGGATGTTGGGTTACATTTGCTATTATTCTATTTACTTAGCATTCTTGGAATCAAAGCTAAAGATGGGATGATTATCTCCCTGCATTATTCACAAAAAGATTTATCAGGTGTTCAGTGGCAGTAGGTTTACCTTAGAAGCTAAGGCATAAAAATAATGCTGAAATTTTTACAAGTTTGGTTGACTTAAATAGCCAGGAATTAAGCAGATGACTTTTAAGCTTACATTATTCAGTCAAAATCCATTCTATTACGTGATAATGCATCTTCCCACCAGTCAGGTACTGTGTCTTGAAAATAAGTTTGTGTATTCGTGCATGTTCTCCAGGTTCATGCATGATAGTTATGTACCGTAGCATGTAGTTTCAAACTAAGTATTTAACAATATAAACTAAGCTTTAAGAGTTTGATGGTTTGTGATTTTATTTCATCTTTTAGTAAAAATATAAATATTTATATTATTAACCTTCTCGCAAAGTATGTTTCAAATAACTAGTTTTTCCTCATATTATTACAGATAATTTTTTTAATATTCTCCTTATTATATCAGCTACTGAACTTATAAATTATCAAAATTATATGATTTAGAACAGATGCATCTTGGATTAGTAGGTGACACAGAATAAATACTGGATTCTGTTGACCAGAAAAGCTTGGGAAATGCTTTATTTCTCTAGCATTTTATAAGCACATTTTAACTCAACTATTTATTCTCCGAGTTCTATTTTAAGCTTAATTTTTATCTAAAATATCTAGAAATGAAAAGCAGTCTCCCTGAAAGATACTTCTCCCTGAAGTTTGAACTTAATAAGAATATAAAAGTTAACAAAATGTATCTGTCAAAAAAACTGAATATTCTTGCGTCAACACTGAAAACAAATGTTTCTGAAAAAGTAGGAAACTGGAAGAAAGAATAATAGTTTTAAATGTTTTCATTGTTGATGAAACCAGTTTTGTTTTTCATCTCCTGCAATCAAAATGCCTAGCCTGTAAAGACACTAAGTATCATTGTCAAGTAAAGGTAATAAGTATCATTGTCAAAATAGTTTCCCTATATTACATTTACCGAATATTGATGAAACAGAAGGCGATACCTCTACTCATAAGAATGTCACAAAAACCAAGTTGTTTCAAAAGTGTTTATGGTATAGCGAATAAAAAAGGGAGCATGATTGTGGAAGTATTTGCAGGATGCCTCAAAGAAAACCATTACGGCATTAAGGTCTTCTTCAGGCAACATGGCATTATGAAGAAAAAAATAATAGCCAATTTTTTATTTATTATTTACTTTAATTGTAATTCCCCCCTTTTTTGGGGGGGAGAATAAAAGCTTTTTTTTTTTTCTGTCCTGTTAGGCCCTGTTTAGACGAGGGCGTAAGGGGCAAAAGTGGTTAAAGCCGAGCTCCGTTGCCAAAGCAACCAGTCTCTGCTACGTCACAGAATCTGGTTTAGGGATCATGGCATAGGGTTCGAAGTTTTTAACTTTACGCCGAGTTTGGGATAAGCGTCGACCAATCAGAGCGAAGCGGCTTTCTTTAGACGATTTCGCTGTCACATCAAAAGCGACGTTTCTTTTTAACATGGAACACATTGTATCCGAATGAGTTGTAATCGTACCTGAACAAAATAATGAGTTGTAATCGTATCCGAACGATTCACTTATTTAAGAATAGTCAAAATAGTCAATTCAATGGTGTAAGCTTTGTATAAGTAATAAAAGATTAATCTTTTGAGAATATGCTCTTATGAATTCCAAGAAGGAAAAAAAAATGTAGTGAAATATCTTTAAAGCAGTCAAGAGTCTAGACAGTTTTGTCTCCTGTTGAAGTTCTGTTCTGTTTTTTAATTACGTTCTCCATGAAAGGAATTTACTTTTAATGAAACTGAATAGCACACATAATTTGTAACATGGACTATAATTTAATGAATAGTATTTATTATTATTATCCACTCTTTATTACTATCATTTGAATGGAATTTTGATCATTAAATTCATGCTCTTTCTCTGGTAGAAATTCCTGGATAAGTTATGAATGTTTATAAGTATTTGAAGACTTGGGTACCTAAAATTTGTCAATGTGAAATTACTTTTGAGATTTGGTCGTAAATAGAAATGACAGCATATGTTGAAATTAAATTCAGGGGTGCGGCTTATACATGCAAATTATTAGAAATAGGTGTATACAAACAGCTGGCAACACAGCAAAATGTATTTAATGATTGAGCATAAAATACATTGTTGGGTGAACATTTCCTAGTATTGTACTAGTTGTGGTTGCTCGTCATTGTGACCAATTGTGGGATACTAGTACTAATGATAATTGATACTGGTAGTGCAGCAAACTACTATAGTGATCGACAGGGACAGTGAATAAGGAGTGCTAAGCACACACGTTTCGCTGTCATAGAAACATGTTCCTTTTGATTGAAAATTTAAAAAATAATAATAACAATATATGGTAAGTACTGTTTTTAGCTTAACTGCTTTCACACCTGCAAAATGGAAAAATATTATATACAGGCTATCTATTAGTTATCCTCATGATTTTTTTTAATTAGGCATATTTAGAATATCGTATTTCTCCTAAGAGAAATTATATATAAAAATTGAAGAAGGTTTTATATATATAAATATGCATGTGCATGTTTATAGTATAGAGAGTACTACAGTACAATGCAGAAATATTCCATACTGCTTTGCACAGAAATATATGTGCCAACCAAGTATTGGTCTTTCAAAAAATATCTCTCGACCATTTCGTTCTTTTTTCATTTTTTACCTTCTTCCGTTGCCTCTTGGTTAATGAGAAGGGCAGATAAAAGATCATTCTCTTGAGCCAGTAAAACTTTGTTGCGAGCTGAAAAAGCCAGGACACAACGAAAATAACAAGCAGAGCGAACGCGGGAAATCAATCGAGCAGGAGAACAGAGCAGGAAAGTTGTAGACATTCAACGCATGCGCAAATTTAGCTTCTCTCATTGGCCACGGCTTACACATTGTTCTCGCAGGTGTGAACAGGTCTCCCGTATTTTATGCCCTTATGACTATGCCTCTATGCCTTTACGCCCACGTCTGAAAGCGTCTTTATACTATTATATTTATATTAGATTTTTGTGATTTGAAAAATTTGAACTTATCTAAAAATATGAAATTATAGAAAACTAAAAATAGGATGGCAAAATTGTGAAAAGGTATGGCATAGCGATAAAACTGCGTAAAGCAGTAGAAAATTGTGTATATGCAGTATCATTCTAAATTAAAATGCTGGATATACATCTTTCTCACTTATATTATAAGATTTTATTTGTGTAGAAACTTAAATCAATATGAGAGATTAAAAAAAAATTATATCGATATTTCATTGCCCTGACTTTAGAAGAATTGTCATGAATTACATATTTATATTTATACTAAACTGTAATGCATATTTTTTCCCTTTCTATCATATTTTCCTTAAATGTATAGAAAACAATACATAGTTTTCTTCCAGAGAAAAAGACACAAAGAATTTCACATGTTGCAATTTTGCAATATTTTTAAATATTACTTACGCATTTCCCATGTCAATTTTTGCAGTAGCACGCTGCTTTAGTTCTTTAAGTTCATCCTATTAAAATACATGAGATGAATATAAATTTGAAGAGCTATTTAAATACATAATGAATGCAAACAATTATGTCACCAAATTTAACCACCTCTCATTCATTAATTATGTTAAAAATACATAATGTTACATTAACTATGAAAGCGGATTTTTTTCCTCCCCTTTCCTTCATACACTTTTTGGGGAAGGGGGGTTGCAAAGTATTTAAGTTCACTTTATTGTCACTTATCTTTGAAATTTGTCACTCATTGTCACTTATCTTTGAAAAATCTAATTGCTCAAGGAATCGTACCAGTAAGTACATATTAAAATTAGCAGCATTTTACCTTTTCACACCACATGTAATCATATTTGTACTTTAGTTCAATAACACATCAAATTATTCAATAACAGGTTTCACACTGAAATTGAATTTTTAAATTCAATGATTTTCAATGACCAAATAAAATAATTTCTCTCATCAAATATTATAAACTAACTACCAAAGTGACTTAACATTTTACTACTCCAAAACAAATGAAAGAAATAGATACAGGAAATATACATCAAAACCAGCGACAGGAAAGGAGGCAAAGGTTTTAAAAATATATAAAATTCTGGAGAAAATTTTTAATTCTGCAAAAAAAATTTACAAAAGTAATATATGGTATAATAAATATTACTCTGGTGGTATCTCAAAATAAAATTCAGGAGTTTAAAATTACACATGGCCATTTAACATAATTTATTATAAAAAGATTGTTCTTTTCTATCTTTCCTGACCTTTCTGGAAAAAAAAAAAAGATTTCCTATACCTTTCTGGGAAAAGTTTACATTTTCCTGATTTTTCAAGATTTTCCAGGTGAGTGAGACTACAGGGTTCGTACACATTTCCTTATATGAAAATTAAGGACTTTAAGGACCATCAAAGAAAAAATTAAGGACCTAGCAGCAAACAAAAAAATGAATAGAATAAAGCAATTATCCATGCAACCGACTTCATGCTTGTAATTTCACTTTAAAAAACTAACAGAAGTGTGTATTATGCACTATTATTAAATTCAATTTAATACTTACCATAAAACAATTTTGAAAATTAAACTAACTCCCTACAAGTTATGAAGTAGATAACATTAAATTAGGAACATAATTTCTTGAAAAACATGTATAAGTGTATTTTACACTAATAACAGTCACTATTTTAGAGATTTACATGATTATTATTTGATATTTATTTAAACACAGTCAACTACTATTATAATCACAATGTAAGAATATTTTGCAGATTAAAATAACTGATTTGTAAACATACAATTTATTTCCTTGGTTTTTTGAAAGATACTAGAATAATAAACTGTACAATAAAAGATACAAAACATTTGTGCTTTTTTTTAAATCTGAAATCTTCCTTTTCTTTAACTATTCTTCTAAGTTCATTTGCTTTGATAAACAAATCAATGTTCCTGCTGGTCTCAGCTTCATCTGCTAAAGCATCTACTTCTTCATTAATATCTTTAATGTCCCTTTGAAGAAATTTTTTCTTCTGCTTCATATAATCAATTTTCTTCCTCAATAATATTTCTTTTCCTCTTTGAATTTTCAGATTTAGTTAAAGATTTTGTTCTTTTTGTTCTTCTAAATACTGAACTTCTAAATAACGAACTCCACTTCTTGCAGAAGCTGCTGCTGATCTCATTTCTTTATTAATTTCGATATTAAGAACACCTCCAGAAAATTTTATGTAATCAAATACTGTGCGTTGAAAAATGTATGATGAGTCACTTAAATTTTCAATTTCAATTGCTTTATTTACAGAGAAGCCCCTTTCCACAGAGGCCTGTTCATGTGACAAGATAAGAATACTTGTCACAGTGAATACTTGAATAGTGAAAATATACATTTTTTACTATATATATATATAATTTATTTCCTAAACAATATTGATTAATTGATTATATTATCTCCTAAGTTTAATTAAAGTAGAATTATTTTAAAAGAGTGAATCCATACTGGTAAGTTATATTTTGAAAGATTTATATATTATATATATATATATATATATATATATAGTAAAGTCCGAGATCCGGACATCTAATATCTGGAATGATCTAAAATCCGGACCTCAAAGCCACCACCAACCAACTTTTTGCGCATTAGATTTTTTTTCCCTCATCATAAAAAAACATGCCGGAAATCCCGATTCTTAATCTCAGTTTGGCGCTAAATAAAATATCTCATTATTGAAGAAATAATTATTTTAGCATAAATTTGTGTGATTAGTAACTTGACTCCATAGCTGCGTATCTGCTTGGCATAATCTCAAACCGAAACATTTGTTAATTTTACACCAACTAATATTTTATATCCTTGATGCCGAAATCGCGAATCATTATTTATTGTATTTTGCTTTCATCATCACCGCATGTTTATCAACGGATGACAACTTGAGTGATGAATCATGCAGCGACGCCAAATAACAGAGTATTATCCGATTACAGATTTAAGTTTAATGCGCTAAAATGTTGACAAGGGGAGATTTAGCAGAAATTTCTTTCCTTATGCTAAAAATAGATTTTGTTAATGATACTCATAGGACAAACGATTATATTTAGTGCTATTTGAATTAAGAATAACTGATTTGTTATTCACATAAAGCCAGAACCAGCGCCAGAGCTCGCATGGCCGCACCAGGCGGCAGAATTTAGCGAAATTAAACAGAAGTTTTTCATTGCGATGACAATGCCCAATCAATTAACGTATCTGTAGTATGGTTCTAAATCCAGAAAATACAGCTACCGATAGTGAAGAAAGTAACAGAGAGGTTACTGAACGAGAAAAAATTTTGATTGACAAGTTATTCGGAATTCTCGACACAGCAATTACAGGACTTGAACAATGGAACTTAATAACTGAACAAGAAATTATATGTCTATAGTATTAGTCTAAAGTATTAGCAGAGAAAACAAATCAAACAACTCACATTGAAAGAAATGTTTAATAAAGTAAACATATAAATATTAAGCTCTTTTCTTTTGTAAATTTTGATACCCTTTAAATCATAAATGCTTCATTATTTCATAAATCACGATTTCATATTTTCAATTTTATAATTTCTACGTGCCATCTTAGTAGATTTAAAATGATCTAATATCCGGAAAAATCTCAAATCTGGGATCGCCGAAGTCCCGACGAGTCCAGACCTCGGACTTTGTACTGTATATATATATATATATATATATAATACGGAATGTATATTTTCAGTTAAACTTCTACCCAATAACTTTAGTAATTCATGAAAGTTAATTTTGCGTCTAGTTAATTCAGGAAAATTAGTTTCAATTAGTTGTTTTCAGCTTTAAAAATATTTAAAAAATTTTTAATTAGTTATTTTCAACTAATAATTGTATCGCCATTAGCAAAAATTATGCATTACTATCAACAACATAGGTTTAAACCAAATACTTAATTGTCTATTGAAGCTTCAAAACGTATTTCCGAACTTCACTTTTTCTCGGCTAGCGTTACCGAATTTGCCCTTGGCGACCTAAAATCGAAATGGAGCCAACAGATTTCCCGCGAAATCGATAACAGACCCTCTGCAGAAATAAACTCATAATCCCGATATCCCATACATATAGTATGTGCAAAAGAGAATAAACTCCGTAGAAGGTGATAAAAAATTAATTTATGGCTTAATTGAAACAAACACAGAAATTAAGCTAAGCAAAACCGTGTAAAAACAAATTGAAATGATAAAACGAAACTTAATTTTCATGTGAATTTTCAGCGCTGACTCTCCCATTCTAGAAATTTCAATTTGTTTCAGACAAAGACCACATTTAAGGATTGCCATCCATCAATATCCAGTCTTTGTAGTCAGCTTGATGAAGCCACAGTTTATTGAAAATGCACTTTCCAGGCATCTCGTTCCTATTGGCGTCGGAAGGGTTGTGGCCTTCCAGGTTGGAATTGCTCTAATTTTGGCAAATATTTTCAGAATCTCCCCCCCCCCTTTTTTTTTCTCGAGCACCTTCATCATCACTTTCGCCTCTTAAAGAACTTCCGGCTTCACGCTTTCGTCACAAGTCTGCCTAAATTTATGGATAACACCTGTTTCGAAAGATTGGCGTGAATAGCCAATCAGACACCGATACTTTCGTTCGGGTAGCTAATTGTTTTTTTTTTAATCGTTTGCAACGCAAATCCGCCAACAGATTGGTTAAGAGCCTGTGTAATTTTAATTCCATATTCATGAGAAATCGTAATTCACACTTAGAATGGCAATCATTAGAAATGATAAGAAATGTCAAATGAGCAAAATTAAGGACCGTTTATTCATTTTGGCCAAAATTAAGGACTTTTAAGGACCAAAAATCATTTTTGAAAAAATTAAGGACTTTAAGGACCGTACGAACCCTGATTTCTTATGTCAATTAAGGTTTTTTGTGGGATGATTTTTTGTATTATCGTTACGTGAAAAATCGTTAATAAGCCATATCCAAACTTATCCCTCAGCTACAAACTTTCTGCGCATGCGTTGCGTCAACGCATGCGCATAATATTTTTACGCATGCACATAATACGTTTACGGATGTACGTTTAATGCATAACGGACGGTATAAGCTAAGCTAAAATTATCTAATTATCTATTTCAGTTAATGTTGCAGATTGCATTGTTCCTTAATATTCTAATTGGATCCGGCTTATTATTTTTTGCAGACTGTTAGAGCAATTTTATAAAAGTAAGCTTGAACTTTCGATTATATCAAAAAGAATTTCCAATTCTGGAGCTACCAAAGGATCTACAAAGCGAAAGCATGTTCTGATGTCCATCAAACAAAAAGTGGAATTGCTCAAAAAATGGATAAAGGCATATCCTTTGATTATCTAATCATTCCAAAATATGTTTATCAATTTCACGCTTGCTCTTCGGGGGGGGGGGGACGCAACGTGCAATAAACTGGATGTTGATCTGTCAGCACTTTCATTATCTTCAGGGCAGATGTTTTTATTTTATTCGGCTT